CCCTGGGCCAGTACTGGAGAGAAACATGTGAATTTGAAGAGCTGCTGTTAGAAACTATCCCTTTGCAACCTGCACAACAAAGACACTACCCATGAGCTGCTGGTACAGGAGAATCCCCTTCCACCCACTGCTTTGTGTGTAGCTGAAAATATCCACTGGTACCACCAGATGGACAGGACACCCAGTCTTCTGCTTTCAGACACAGTTCTGCGAACGGTCTTCAAAGGCAAAACCACCGAGAAAGAACAGCTCAGCAAAGTATCCCCAAATTTCTCCAGTCCCGAGCTGTGGCACATTTGCTGCTTTCTCACTTCTTGCCAAGTCTAGAGCTGCCGGGTTGGGCCCCCACCCTCCCCTCTGGCACAACTACTCCTTACAGCTTGGAAGCTATTTTTTCCCACCCAGCTATCTAAAAAAAAAAAAAATTTAAAAATGGCATGAAAGTTTCTATCATCCTGAAAACATGCCAACTGCGAAGGCGACTCAGTGTCTCAGACGCCTGTTTCCTGGCAGATTTTATGTCCTTTGCTCAACTGCCTGGATGGCGGGGGCAGGAGATGCCTGCAGCAGCCTGTGAACTGGAGTTCTAAACACTCACATGTTTAACTGCTGCTAAATTCCTAGGGGACCAACATTTTCAAACAGTGGGCTAAGAGCTACACACACAGCCAAGTGATGTCAGCCCATCCCAGGTGAAGGAAAGAATCATAGAATTTTTGGGGGTTGTGCTCAACTGCCTGGATGGCGGGGGCAGGAGATGCCTGCAGCAGCCTGTGAACTGGAGTTCTAAACACTCACATGTTTAACTGCTGCTAAATTCCTAGGGGACCAACATTTTCAAACAGTGGGCTAAGAGCTACACACACAGCCAAGTGATGTCAGCCCATCCCAGGTGAAGGAAAGAATCATAGAATTTTTGGGGGTTGGCATGGACAGGTCATCTCCCTGCCATGGGCAGGGACACCTCCTCACTAGATCAGGTTGCTCAAGGCTTTAGCCAACCTGCATTGAACACTGCCAGGGTTGGGGCAGCCACAGCTTGCCTGGGCAACTTGTGCCAGTGTCTCACCACCCTCACAGGGAAAAACTTCTGCCTAATATCTAGCCTAAATTTCCCCTCCTTCAATTTCAACCCATTACCCCTTGTCCTGTTACTGCAGCTCCTAACACAGAGTCCCTCTCCAGCCTACCTGGAGTCCCTCCAGATCCTGGAAGGTGCTATGAGGTCTCCACACAACCTTCTCTTCTCCAGGCTGAATAGCCCCAAATCCCTGAGCCTGTCTTCATAGGGAACATGCTCCTGCCCTCTTACCAACTTCATGGCCTCCTCCAGACTTGCTCCAACACTTCCATGTCCTTCTTCTGCTGAGGACACCAGAACTGTGTGCAGTATTCCAGGTGGGTCTCACAAGAGCAGAGCATGGGGGGGGACTCACTTCCTTTGACCTGCTGCCCAGACTCCTTTGGATGCAGTGAAAGGTGTGAATGTGCTGCACAGTGATGCTGTGCACGGAGATGAAGAGCCACCAGCATGGATACAGCTGCAGGAGGTAACAAGGGAGGTCACCCGGCTTAACATCTCCACCTCAGTACAGCTACCAGGCAGTACAGAGGGGGATCACCCTGCTCCACATCTCCACTTGGTCAGTCACCCCTTCACTTCTCAGATAATGAGGCTTCAGTTCCACTGGCTCCCACTGGTGTGAAGAGAAGGGATGGGACCCAGCATGTAGGCTGAGCAGGGGAGAAGTGCTGGATGACTGCACTGCTGGTGTCCCAACTTCCACTGACCACCTAAAAGCACTGGGACATCCATGTGCAGCTCGAGATGTGGGGACAGTCCCTACCTTGATGCCACCCTGGAAAGAGCCACACACAGAGTCCTTCAGCCTGATGATGCTTTCTGGAGCTCCAAAGTGCTTGGAGCTGGTTTTGCACACAGAAATTCCCTTTCCAGCCCAAAACTGCACAGCATCAGTAAAAAACTGCATAGGATGAGAACAAGATGGAGTTCCATCAGGCTTTACTCTTTTAGAGGTAGAAGAAAACTTCTTCTTGGCACATGACCCACAGCAACATCTATCCCAGCACCTACCTATAACCAGCCCTGGTGCCAGCTGAGGATTTTCCCAAACATTTCAATCCAGGCCATTCAATCAATCCTCCAACACTTATGCCACTTGAAACCATCAGGGAAAAGAAAACTAAGCAGTCTGGCAAGACAGGGATTGATAGCCTTGCAGATTTGTTTTCACCCTAGGGACAAGTTACCAGGCAGAACATGCCATGCCAGCTGCCTCCTGCCCCCCCCCCCCCCCCCCCCCCCCCTTCTCCATCCACTCAAGAGCTCTGTTTACTAACAAGAGCCTTCCTCCTCCTTTGTACCTAGAATCATGGAATCATACAATGGTTTCAGTTGAAAAAACCTAAAACCTCAGCCAGTTCCACCCCCTGCCATGGGCAAGGACACCTTCCACTGGCCCAGGTTGCTCCAAGCCCCATCCAACCTGGCCTTGAACACTTTCAGGGATGGGGCAGCCACAGCTTCTCTGGGCAACTTGTGCCAGTGTCTCAGCACCTTCACAGGGAAGAATTTCTTCCCAATATCCGATCTAACCTCACCCTCTGTCAGTGGGAAGCCAATTCCTCCCTGTCCTATTGCTCTGTGCTCTTATCCAAAGGCTCTTCCAGCTGTCTCAGAGCCCCTTCAGGCAGGGGGGCAGGTGCTCTAAGGACACATGTTGGGATGCTTCCTACAGGACAGACCAATCAGGGAACACGAACAGGCCAAAAGGGATGAGCATCACCCATGGGAAGCACATGCTCCAGGGCAGGAGGAAGGCAAATATATGAGCTAGATGTGATCTGTAGTGACTTCACATGACCCGTGCTGCATGCTACAGCAGTAGTCTCCTTATCCACTGCACACATGGAAAAAAACAACTATTTTAAGTCATTTTTCCAGCGATGGGAACAAGCTCATCATTCAATTCCTACTTAACAAAACAAGAGCCAGACAAACTCAGTGCTGTGTGAAGGTGCGTTTATTCCAAAGCCAAATTTCTCACATAAAACAATGTCTATCAACAGCAGCACTGGTTCTGACACAGGTCTCCCACAGCCTCCTGGGGTCCAGGGCTTGGGGTCCTGAACCATCCCGACAGAGCAATCAGGAATCTCTTCTCAGAGTTGTCAGAAATGGGAGTGAAATGACAGAAAACAGATACATGTCCACTGGCCCATTTTCAGAAATCATGCCTGCTCAGAGAAGAGCAAATGCATCAAGACACTTTGCAGGGCTATTAATGCCTGCACAAAGCTCTCACAGAGCACCCTGTTCCATGCAGGCTGCCTGCAAAGGAGCAGCTGCCCCTGTCAGGAGAGAGCTGTGTTATTCCCAAAGACAGAAACCAGGGCTGTTGGATTTAATAATCTGCTGAACTGCTTCCAAGGACCAAAGTGGCTGAGAGGTCGTGTCAGTGATGTGCTTCTTTGCAGCCTGGAGCCCTCACACCAGCCTCAGTGTGCACGTCTGGTCCCAGCTTACTCTCTAAAGGGGTTTCCCTTCTTCCTCCTGCCTCAGCCTCTTGGAGAGGTGCTCACCGATGGCCATGAAGGGGTTGGCTCTGTACTTGGGATCAGTGATTACCTCATGAAACCGAGCCACTTCCTCCTCTCTGAGAAAAGAAAAATAACACACCAATACTTTAAATGGCTCATGCAAAAGGAACTGAGCAGGTAAGGACCGAGCACATAAAGCAGCAGATTTCTGTCGAGACAGAGTGATCCTGGGTGTAAATCTCAGAAAGAAACAGCACAAGAAATAAATCTAATTCAGCCAACGGTGAAGCTCAAATTGCTGCCAGCTTCATGGGAGCCAGAGACTTGATCTCACGCCACGAGACAGAAACAATCATGTTAGTGTCCAGCATCACTTGGAAATGGGTTTTTTTAGAGCTTTTCTCCAGTAAATCAGGAACAAGAGACTGTGGATATCTGGTAAATCACTAGGAATGAAAATGACTTCAGATTGCACCAGCTCAAAAGCAGATTCTGCTTTCAAGAGCTCATCAACCAACTCTCTTTATTGCTGAACACTGAGACTTGGTAATCCTACGTGCAACAACAGTTAGACACCATGGGAAGAGCATGACAGAATTATCTCTGCATGCCTGGTCACGGCTGGATGCTGTGGACATGGTCTTGTAAAAAGCAAGCAAGCCGGAAGGAACAAGAACAGAGCAGGAACGTGAAAAAAAGCCCTACGAGTTTTCACATAGCTACATCCATCGCAGCATTCCCATCTCCCTCAGACTGCCAGGCTCTCCACAGCCTCACCAGACACATTTGGCAGCACTCAGCTACTTGTCTCCCAAGTATGGCCCTTCCCTTCAATGCCAGCTCTGCCCCTGCCAGAGGAGCACAAAGAGGAGCCAAACCTGAAGCTCGGGTTGTGGCAGTTGAGAAAATATGATGAGGCTTAGGGAATCTCCTATCCTAACTAACATCCTAGGAAATCAACCTCAAGACCTTCCTCCAAACTTTTTCCCTCCCAAGAAGCACAGACTTCCCAGATGACTGTGGTGGGATACATGCCAGTACTGAGCACATCTGTCCCATTTTGTGCAGAGGAGAAGAGAAGGACACGGGATCCTTAGCTTGGTGTTACAGGAGACCTTGGTGGGGTTGCCTATTCAGATTTAGATCTGTATACAAGCTCCTTCTCAAGCACTGTTCCTCACTCACAAGATCCAGCACAGTGAGACTCTCACTGATGGTACTCAAGGGTTCTGCAGTGAGCCAAGGAGAGACTCATTCAGAGTCACAGAATAACAAGAGAAGGACACGGGATCCTTAGCTTGGTGTTACAGGAGACCTTGGTGGGGTTGCCTATTCAGATTTAGATCTGTATACAAGCTCCTTCTCAAGCACTGTTCCTCACTCACAAGATCCAGCACAGTGAGACTCTCACTGATGGTACTCAAGGGTTCTGCAGTGAGCCAAGGAGAGACTCATTCAGAGTCACAGAATAACAGAATGGTATGGGTTGGAAGGGACCTTAAAGATCAGTCCCACCCACCCCCCTGCCACAGGCAGGGACACCTTCCACTGGCCCAGGTTGCTCCAAGCTGTGTCTAACCTCACCTTGAACACTTTCAGGGATGGAGCAGCCACAGCTTCTCCGGGAAACCTGTGTGAGTGCCTCACCATCCTCATAGTCAAGAAAAAAAAAAGGTAAAGAAAGGCAGAACTGAGCAAGAAAGGCATCCCAGAAACAACACTGGTTGGTTTCTAACAGAGAAGGGTATCCATGGAGTGTGCTGGCAAGCAGTGCAGGGATCTGTAGCCTGACTGTCCAGCCTCTGTTTGAAGCTGAACAGCTCGGAACTGACAGAAATCCTGGAAACAAGAAAGCAAACGCTGCCAGATCACAGTGCCAAGCCCCAGGAGAGCTGTGCTGAGGGAAAATGAAGTTCTTGATGCCTGGTGGCAGTATAACTTATCCAACAGATTATACAGAGGAATAAGTAGTTGCCAGTAGTAAAGCCAGGAATTATTCCAAAGCATTTAGTCCCCTATCCTTGCTGATATTCAAAAGCTATGTGGACATGGGCCTGAGCAACCAGTTCCAGGTGACCCTGCATGATCAGAGGTGTTGGACCTGATGACCCCAGTGGTCCCTTCTAGTTTCAACCATTCTGCAAGGCTCAGAATGGACTGGACACTGAGAATTGGGTACTCACAGGAGTCGATGTTTCTGAGCCTGTTTCATCAGACAGAAGTCTATTGGTTCTGCCTTTACCTTTGCACAGCTGTGGAGAGAAGAAACAAAACAAGTGAGTGAGCATTAGAGAAAAGCAGTAATTTAGCAATGGCTGTGGAGATGGAAAAAGTCCAGGGATTCTGAATCTGTCTTCCTAGAAATGGTAATTGTCCTGCATGGAAATTGTCCTGAAAGGCAATTTCCACAGCCAGAAGGTAATGGAAGTGCAAACTACTTCTGCAACAGACTGACAGAGCAGGAAGCAAAGGCACTACAGGAAAACCGGATTACTTAGTTCCAGAAACTGGTCATTAGCTCTCCAGGCCCAGATCACTTTCTGCTTATTGCTGACCTCAGGTCAAACTGATCCTGTTGCTCAGAGAAGAGATCCCATCAAACTTCCTCTCACCATCACACGTGTCACCTCTGCACAGCTCATGTTCCCTGCTGGCACTGTGAAGCCTCAGCAGCCACCTGCTACAGACAATGCCATGGATGCTCAGCAGGAGGAGGGAACTGCCAGCCCTGCTCTGGATCCTGTTCTGGGACCACTGGGATATAACGTGTTGGAATGCAGGATGGTGCAATGTGCAGCGCAAGCACGGCAGCAGGCACGGATCTGCACTCTCTGTACCCATTCCTTATTCCTGGGCAAAGTCCAAGGAGACCAGAGGTGTAATCCCATCCCATGTGGTGCCAAGCACCAGCAGAGATTTACCACGAAGCCAGCACTGAGCTCCAGCAAGGGACATGCAGAAAGGGCAGAACTTGCTTTCAGAACTCAAAGGGCACAAGGGGAATTGCTGGTAGAGCTGGACATTAAGGCAAGGAGAAGTAATTTCCATTCTTCAGGATTACACGGATACAGAAGTAAACAGGAGAAGCAAGCTGGGAAGAGGATCTGCCTCCATGGGGTAGCTCCACTCTGATCTGCCCTGAGGTTGAGTCCCAGCACACAGCCCAAGGCGGGGGAAGAGGCTCAGCCTCCCATCCCTCTGTTGGGCTAGGGTTCAAGGAAGAATCTTTCCATGCTGGTGGGTGCTGGGGGACAGGACCTCCCACACCTGATAGGCCTCAGAGGTTAGGAAATGTGACACTTCCTCACTTTCTTTTCAAGACAGCAGGATTTTGTTGGCAGTGTTACAGTGGCCTCCTCTTCCTATTTCCTCTCTGACCCACTACCCTCCACCCTTTTATTCTGCCTTTTTTCCCCCATTCTTTCTTTCTTCCCTTATCTCATATTCCTTCACCTCACTTCCATCACCCTTCTCTACTCAATCAGCTCCTGCTCATTCTCCTTTCCTCTCCCTCTCCCCTTTTTTAAACTGCTCAACACAGGAAAAATTTCTTGTCCCGATTTGCCTGGAACAGTCACAGAAGCTCTGAGAAATTACTCCTCAAGCTGTATGGCAACCCATGATCATCAGTGCAGGATTTGCCAAACCCATGTGTGCCACCAAGTCACCATGGCAGCCCCTTCAGAGATGACCAGCCCTGCAGAGGCTGACAAAGCCTAAAGGAAAGCTGTTCTTGAGTACATCTCAGGCTGGATTTTCCCCACAAACCCACCAGCACACTGCCTCTTCACTTGGACCATGATATCAGCCCTGTTTCATTACACTTCATTGCCTTCATTCATTATAAAACAGAATAAAAACCTCCCTGTAATGCTCTTGTACCCAGGAGGAGATCAAATTCCTGGAGAACCTAATCTTTTATTAATAATGCTGACAAATCACCAGAGTATTACCCTTCCTTTCTGTAATGATTCAAATCCTATGAAAGCCTCCTCTGATTATTTCAAACACTTCTGCACACATGTCCAGCAAGCCAGAAGAAGTGAGCAAGGGGAAGAAGAGGCCTGTAGCTCCTCCATGCCCATACCAAGAGGGGCTGCTTTGAGGTTTGCATGTCATAGGCAATCTGGGTGACAAAAGCCAATGTCAAATTCCCACCCCCACTGTGCTGACTCAGGCTTCAAAAAGGACAGACTAGGGATTCCACGCCCCCACAGGAGGTCTGGGTTGGGGGAGAGAGGGAGCTGACAGCACATCTCCAAGGGTGTCAGGCTGGAGGTTTGTGCAAGATCACTGAACACTTCCAGGTGTGCCACATATCCTCTGTCATGGAGTATACTACAGAAAAAAACGTGATTGAAGTAGCTGGGAGGACTCTTTTGGCCAGTGTTTTGCCTTAAAGCATCATGCAGTAAATGGCCAGAGAGGGATAAGACTGGAGGAATGCAGCCTAGAGAAGAGAAGGCTCTGTGGATCCCTTAGAGCCTCCTCCAGTGCCTAGAGGGGCTCCAAGAGAGCTGGAGAGGGACTTTGGACAAGGGCCTGCAGGGACAGGACAAAGGGGAATGGTTTCAAAGTGACAGTGAGTAGGTTTAGATTAGATATTGGGAAGAAATTGTTCTCTGAGAGGGAGCTGAGGCACTGGCACAGGTTGCCCAGAGAAGCTGTGGCCAAGACATCCCTGAAGTGTTTAAGGCCAGGTTGGATGGGGCTTGGGGCAACCTGGTCTAGTGGAAGGTGTCCCTGCCCATGGCAGGGGGTGGGACAAGATGAACTTCAAGGTCCCTTCCAACTCAAACCATTCTAGGATTCTAAGATCAAGACAAGTGCACAGCCATATCCTCTCCAGTATTTGCCACTCAGAGACCTAGGGCCAGCTGTACTTTATATACACGCAGAACCCTCCATGAAGCTGTCCTCACTGGATTTGTCAGATCCCACCTGAACCCACAGGCTTCCCTCAGCTGTGACAACCTGCAGCAAGAAGCTGTGCAGAGCAGTGAGCCTCCTGCTTGTTCTGAACCTGTTACTCATTAGCTGCATTTGATGTCCCTTATATACTAGAAAACATGCGTACTAGAAAAGATCACATCATGACAGAAAGAAGGCAAAGCCACCTATTCAGGCTCAGGAAAGCTCTGGCCCCAAACTCCATCCAACCAGCTCTCAGTTCTCTGAAAGACTTGAAACTCTGTGTGTACTTTTGCTGTTCATTCCCAGTGAAAGAAAGGGCAGCCTGACAGAACGGTTGCATAGAGGGGGGGAAAAAACCAGAATTAAAATGTTATTCAAAAAATTAAAAGCCAAGTGAAGGAAAATTTTTTCCATGTTTAGATAGGAGGTTCACAGCTGCTGTTTGTCTGAGGAGTAACTTTCCAGGAGCACAGGGAACAGCCAACTCAGCCGTGCTCTTGGTCAAAGACATGTTGCAAGCCAATGGGCAAAAAAAGATTCTGGCCAGAGCGTAAAGCTCTGCTCAAAGGACTTGAACTGCCTCAGGAGAAAGCCTGGGTGAAGGTCTGGAAGGATAGAATGTCAGCCTGCAACACCTCCTGTTTGTCTGAGGAGTAACTTTCCAGGAGCACAGGGAACAGCCAACTCAGCCGTGCTCTTGGTCAAAGACATGTTGCAAGCCAATGGGCAAAAAAAGATTCTGGCCAGAGCGTAAAGCTCTGCTCAAAGGACTTGAACTGCCTCAGGAGAAAGCCTGGGTGAAGGTCTGGAAGGATAGAATGTCAGCCTGCAACACCTCAAGTTTATCTTTCAGCAGCATTACACTCAGGACACTTTTGTGTCACTCCCACAGCTCTCAGGATCTGGATGCTCCTGGCCTGTTTCATGCCAAGCCTCATCTGAGCATTGTGGTTCCCCTCTTAGCTGTGCATTCAGAAGACCTTTAATCTTTCTTTCTTGTGTCAAGTGAAGCATGGAAAGGAGTGAAACACAGCTAAGAATGAGACCCTGTTCTCCTGACCACTGCCTGTAGCTACAAGCTGAGCTGAAGGATGCTTAATTCTGCAAGAAGAAGGGAGATACATAGCCCATACCCAAATGACACATACCTCTTGGGTGCTTTCCTGCCCCTGCCACCCGTGGCCAGGTCAGAGAGCTCAGGTAGGGCTTCCATCAGTGGCTGCATGTCTCCCACCACAGGTGTTGCTTTCCGCTTCGCTTTGGCTTTTTGCTTCTCCTTGGCTATTTTCACACTTTCTATTTCTGAATCAGAAACAAGGCATTACTGAAGGAAAGGGAAGCATCTGCAGGAGATAACCCCTGAGATAAGAAATTCATAGGCTGCTTCACCATCTACAGGAACAGCAGGCCAGGGGCAATTTAAACCAAGGAAAAACCAAAAATAATGAAGCTGGGTCACTCCCTCCCTTGCTGTCTTTGCTTATAAATACATACATCCCTACTGACATTGCAATAGGAAGTGAAATTCCCAGACTGATTTTTGACTGAACTGTTTTCATCCCTTATACTGCTCATTGCTCACAGCAACACAGCACAAGAGTCCTGGGGTGGAAAAAACCCACACTGACCTTGCTTGGATTTAGGAGACAGACTCAAGAGGGAAGAGACAAACTAAATACCATCAGCTCCACATCTGGCCTAAAGCAGACACAGCCCGATCTCTGCTTTGCTGTTGCCACCAAACAGTGGTCTCCAAGCACAGGCAGAAAAGATAGACTTAATTTCAGTTGTTTACTTAGTTTGCAGTGAGTCAAGGTCTTACCTTCATGACTCATGGTGGAGTGCAAGCAGTCAGATGCTGGATAAACTTGGACCCTTGGAAAAGCACTGCAACAAGTCGCAGAGACAGATGGCTTTTCCTCAGGACCATGTTTCTCAATCTCCCTGCAGCAGCTCTGAAAAGGCTGAAGACACAGAAAGCCCCACAAATGTTCCAGCAGTCCCCCTCTTGGCCATGGGAAATGGGCATTGAAAGCTACAGGCTTCTGCCTCAGTCCTTGAGGCTCCCTGGTGTAGTAATAAGTCTCACAGCTGCCCAAACATCACAGAGCCAGCAGCTTCCAGGGTGAGCCCCAGCAGAGTATGTCCTTTAGGACAGCCCACAAAATCCCAGCATCGCTACAAGTCTCCAAGATGCCCCAATCTGACCCAGAAGTCCCTTGGATAACTGCAAGGATGTGCTTCAGTGCTGAGCTAGAAACTCCTTGTGTGCACGTGACAGAGCGCCAGAAGCCATGGGACAAGCTGGTGACATACGGAGGCCAACAGCTTCCAAGGCAGCACGGCCACAGAAGCCCAAGTATTTTTGGTGGGAGCAGAAAAGCAGTCAGTTCCACATACAGACCACAATCCTGAGCCTAATCCTGCTCCCACAGTCAAGGAAGCAGAACTCAACTCAGTGTCTGACTCCTGGCTCCTTTAATACCTTTGTCTGGTTCACTCTCCAGCTCAGTTGAGTTGAAGAGCAACAGTTTTTCATGAACTGTAATTTTGCTGTACATGGATGTTTGTGACAAATCTGGATTGGAAATGCTTCTCCTCACAGCAACTCCTGCCAAGAACACAGCTTTCTGTTCTGCATCACTTCTTTTTTTGGCCTGGCTTTATGAAGCTGCCTACTTCAGTGTTTTCATAAACAGTATGTACTCAAAATTTTCAGACACCTGATTCTGCGCAAACATCCCAAATTCTTTTCCTATGAAGTCTTGTTCGCCTGAGGAGCCATGCAATATACGTATTTTTAAATGAGCATACTTCTAATGTCTGAAGCATTGCATAAGTTTTTTTCCCCTCTCTAGTCTCTCCTAAGATTATTTATTGGAATGGAAGAAAGCTCCCAGTTTTGCATTTGCACGGCTGGGCTGAGCTTTAGTTCCCAGGGTCTTGGCATCCAATGTCACAAAAGCAGCCCTGGGACAAGAAGAAACAACAAACTCTTGGGAAGATTTAGGAAAACAGATTCGTAATGCTAACAACTTTAGCAGTCCAAGTTGGGTTCTCTTTTGGGGGGCAAAAGAACTGCAGGGTTTTTAGGTACATTTGTGCCTGTAAAGCACTTCTAACACCTAGTATCTTGCAAGACAGAGATTATTTGGCCTGGAGTTTACTGGTTTGGTGTTCTCCTCAAAGCAAAGACTCTGCATTTCATTTGTATTCCCTCAGTTCAGTAATTTCAGAGCCCAGAGAGGGGGAAAGAGGCCACAGCAGGGCCAAAATAACACACACGATCTTGGGAAGGACTGATGCTACACAGGCATCAGGAGGGCAGGATTAAGAAAACACACCTGGGCTTTTCCAAGGCAGCTGACCTTGACCAGCACAGCCATCTATGCTTTGTGTCCGAGGGCTGCAGATGTCCAAGGCACTGGGAAGCTGTCAGCTGTGTAACTGGGAGGAGGTTTCCTTCACACTCATGGTGTTAAAATTCTCAGCTTTTTATCTAAGAGGAGCCAGACATGCCTTCACTGCAACTGGTGAAATCACAGGCTGATGGACTTGAGCTCAGAGCTCAGGTGCAGAGAGCATATGGTGTAGCAGAAAGCCACATCCCTCAGCCCCCAAAACTGTCTGTCTCAAGCTCTGTTGGGCAAGAAGGTGTTAAGGGAAAAGCTTGTTCTAAGAACAGCTCCAGGTGACACAAGGAATCCCTCTGCTACATTGGGTAGGACAGCATGGTCTCTTACTGTGCTGAAACACTCAAAGCAAAAATACAGACACTTCCCACAGCAAATACAAGCATTTCTGCCTTGGGCTGGTTTTGTTTAGCTCATATTTCACAGCCTCGAGAAAGGCCAGACTGTCTGGTAACTAGGTTCACTGACTTGTAGCATGTGGGAAAGAGCAGTAACACAAGCAGCAGTGCCCAGAGTCCTCCCCTTCTGAGAGACACGAGGGCCTACTGCAGGTTGAGTTTTGGGAGGTTTGGGATTGGCAGCATGAGGCTCAGCTCCAGGCTGTCCTACCATCCCCAGAGCTCCTTGGGGAGCAGGACCTCTACACAGCTAGTAATATCTGTACCAGAGCTTTAAAAGATTGAAAAACATGCTAAAACCTTACATGGACACAGTGTCCTATCTGGATAAAGAAAGGATTTACATAGTCATTTATACCACATATGGAGGAAGACCACTAGTAGATTTGAGGCAATGACTTGGTCTTAGTGCAAAACACTGAGAATCAAGACATGGGACTTCTACCCCACGTGCCAGGGAGCAGGTGTGAAGGTTTCTGAGAAGCATTCAGCCTCTCCCAGCACTGTCACCCACACCCAACATACAGAGAGCACCAGCAGAGCTACACTGTGCCATGCAAGAGTACTCACTCTGCAGCCACCTCTCCTTCCTCAGCTTCATCTTTTCTTTCTTTGAAAGAACTGTCTTTTCTTCGAAACCTAGAAGAGAAGAGACATGAGATGGAGCCTGGCTCCTGCACCACAGATTTCCTTCAACCCATGATGCTTCTGGACTTTCTGGCAGGCCAGATAGGCTGCAGGCACGCAAGGGGCTACACTGCACCTCAACTTTAGCCAAACAAATCAAACCTCCCTTGCTGTTGGTTAAAAAATAAGAAACCAGCAAGTAGATCAGATCATCAGCATACAATCCAGGAATGGTTTGGGCTGGAATAGACCTTCAAGCTCATCCCATTCCAGCCTCCCTGCCATGGGCAGGAACAACCTCCACTAGCCCATGTTGCTCCAAACCCCATCCAACCTGGCCTGGAACACTTCCAGAGATGGGACAGACACAGCATCTCTAGGCAACCTGGGCCAGTGTCTTGCCACCCTCACAGGGAAGAATTCCTTCCCAATATCCCATCTACCCCTGCTCTGTGGCAGTGGGAAGCCATTCCCTGTGCCCTGTCCTTCCAGGCCATTGTCCAAGTTCCTCTGCAGCTCTCCTGGAGCCCCTTTAGGCACTGGAAGGGGCTCTAAGGTCTCCTTGGAGCCTTCTCTTCTCCAACCTGGCCTTGAACACTACCAGGGATGGAGCAACCACAGTCTCTGGGCAGCCAGTGTCTCACCACCCTTACAGGGAAGGATTTCTTGAGCACCATAGCCAGGGCAGCCCTAAGGAGCAGCTGATTACTAACAGCTCTAAAAAAGCCTAGGACCTATTATTTACCAAATTCAGTATTTGGAAAGCAGCTGTTGTGCACTGATATCCAATATCAAGTATAATAACACTACAAAGATTTTTACTGGACGTCCATTGCAGATGCTATAAAATTATATCTTATCTCCAGTGGTTAAAACAAAATTGACTTTAGTCAAGTTTTCTCCTGAAATGTGCTGGGAATACCAGAATGCCAATGGAGGTAGAAGCTCCCCCCAAAGATCACTCCTCTTACCTTAGCTTATTATTGAGCCTGGAAAAGAGAAAATACACTTTTTTTCCCCCAAAAGAAACAGAAGAAAGGAATTCTGAAAACAACTCACTGAGGACAGCTATCCTGAAGCTGTGAATCTCTTAGGACCATTTTTAATAAAAAAGCAGGATCATCTTTTAGTAATTCCTGAAGATCAGAACAAGCCTGCTGGGCCTGGGGGGACCTCTCCATAAAGCCAACAATCACCACCATGTTTTAAGTTTCTAGAGGACGTGGAGAACAAAGCTGAAGCTTTCACTGCCTCGTGTGCCAGAAAAATACATTCCAGCACTCAATGCATCCGAAAAGCAAGAAATAAACCCACGTTTGTTGTGGTATCAAAGCAGACGCTGAAACAACAAACTGCATGTTCCAATAACCAATTCTGAGCTCTGCCCACCCCTACCACCCCAGGTTTCTGTGGTCACAGGGCAAAAAGGATGAGTTATGGCCAAGGGGCACGTGGCACCCCGATGCACAGGAGCCCCTGGCTGACCCAGCCTGCCCAGATCTCAGCCACAGTAGTGCTGGGGAGATCTGCCCCTCCTCTGGAAACATGCTCATGGCTTCACTGGGAAAGAGATTTGTTAATGAAAATAAAATTTTTAAAAAACAAGCATTCAGCCAATTCTAGTCATTACTGCAATTCAGGGGGTTATTTTTCCCCCCCAAAGGGCAGCAGAATATTTAAGGATACACAAAAGCTGTTTGCTTGGCAGGGACTCAACTTTGCTGCTGGCCAGGGATGGTGGGCAGCACCCAGGCCCACAACTGTGGATCGCCAGAAGGGTGCCTGGGGGAAAGGAGCCTGATCCCTCCTCTGCCAACAGCCAGTTCCTGTCCTTTTCCACCATCTGCTCCCCAGACACTCCATTTTTCATATCCCATCCTGCCCCTCAGAAAGGCTGTTTTACTGCTAAAAGGTGCCAAGTTGTGTTTGGCACCTTTCAGTTGCAATGCCAAGTCCCAAAGCTGCTAGAAACCCACCTGAGAAGAGTGGAAGAAGAATTTAGCTGGTTAATTACTGGTACAGACTGTCCCCAAGGTAGTCTTTTGGGTTTATTTAGCCTGCAAGCACCTGTAAGATCAAAGCCAGATTGCAGCTCCACTTGAATTATTTCCCTGTGAAACCAGAAGGGTTTGGGTCCTCCCCTCCAGCCCATTCCACAGGTAATTTAAGAACACTTGCCTTTCCTCCTTCTGCATGGAGGAAAGGCAAGCAAACCCCATATACATTAGCTGAGAGTAATTTCCATGCTGTAAATGTGACAATTATTCCTTTCAGCGAGGACATGTTCTCTGTTTCTTCCCTCTGATCTGTGCCATACAAAACATCTCAGATATAAACAGATCAAAAAAAACCCACCACACAATAGCTTTTTGCCTCCTACATCAAGTGTTTGATGCTACTCCTGGCAATGCTCAGGATTCTGCTTTTCTGACAGAGAAGCCTAGATGATCTAGACCCAACCCCCTGCCCTGGGCAGGGACACCTCCCACCAGACCAGACTGCTCAAGGCTTCATCCAGCCTGGCTTTGAACACTGCCAGGGTTGGGGCAGCCACAGCCTCCCTGGGCAACTTGTGCCAGTGTCTCACCACCCTCACAGGAAAAGCTTCCATTTAATACTTAACCTAAATTTCCCCTCCTTCAATTGGAACTTGTTACCCCTTGTCCTATCACTGCAGTTCCTAACAGAGTCCCTCTCCCCTATTCCCAGAACCCTAATGATACATAACAGTTGAGCAGCAACAGCTTTAAACACAGTATTTTGGCAAGACAGGGTAGTGCATAAATTGAAGTTAAATAACAACAGATGTGTTAATTTTAGCCTCCATTGTATAACAGCAGCAAAAATGAGCATATGCCTCCAGCTGTGGGATGAGCGCACGAAAGAAAGCCACAGAGCACATCCAAAAGCAGAAGGCTGGGTGTGGTTTTGGCTTGTTTTTTTAAAATCACAGTGTCATTTGTAAATTGTCCAACACCCTTGTCCAATGAAAGGGCCTGGGAAATGGTAACCGCAGTCTCCTGGGGCACACACAACAGCAGTGTGACCTGACAGATGTTAGCGCACAACTGCTGGAGCTGTTCTTATTCCTCTAGGAAGAGAGCTGAGGGACAACATGGACCAGGTAAAATGTCAGCCAAGGTATCCTCTGGCAGAGACGATGCTCCATGGGAGCCAGCCTGGCCTCATCCCACCCACCAGCTCCCAATCAGTGACCTGCAGCTCCACTGCTCCCAAAAGCATCAATGCAGAAGTGTCCGAGGAGGCTGTGTCAGTACTGGGACCAAGGCTTGGAGGTGGCAAGAACATGCAGGGGGTTGGGATCTGGACTTTTTGCCCTCTTGCTGTCAGAGGAACCCCCAGAAACAGCCTGGTAGCCTGAATGGCACAGAGACCACAAATTGGGGTTTTACCCAGTCCAAACCCTGCCACACCCTGAGCAGGCTCAGAAACCAGTGCTGGAGGAAAAGATGCCAGTTCCTGCTGGGAGAGGTTTCACCATGGATACAGCATTTGTTATCTACCTTCCACAACAAGCTACACTATTTTTGTTCACACCAGCACACAAGCTTTCCTCCTGCCCCAATGAGCAAAGCATCCTATGCAAAGTGGGATCTGCATTCTCAAGCCCTCCAGATCTCCTGGTTATTTAAAGCAAAGCTGAATTCCAAGCCTAGCTTCCCATTTGAGACCCAGAGGAGCAGCTCGACTCGTGTCCTCACAACAAGGTCATGCCTCTGTCAGGCCTGGTAAACATATCCCCAGGCTTCAACCAGCTCCAGCAAGGGCACGAGGCCTCCCTGTGCAGCAGAGCTGAGACTCAGCCACAGAAGCACACGAGTGACATGCCATTTGAAGCAGGAGCACTTCCCCTCAGGGGCTGACTGGGAAGTCACAATCTGCACAGCACTCTGTGAAAGGCAACTCCAGAGACAAAGTCTGTCCTCCTAAGCGATGTCTTAAGCACTGCTGGCACACTCAGCCCCTGCCACAAGATAAAAGTACCTCCTCCTCTGCCCAAGGAGGAGCCTTCCCCAGCATAGGGGCTGACCTCCAAGGAGTCAGTCACATAGAAAATGCTCAAGGTGGTCCAGTGTGTCGCTGTCCCTAAAGCCACTTCTGAGGCTAGGAGGTTATTTTTATAACCAAGGCAGAAAGAGGCGACTTGCTGCAGGGTTAACATATTAATTATGTGTAACAGTATGTCAGTCCAGTGCTGTTTGTTACCTACTGGCTTACATAGCCTCTGTGTGTGTCGAGAGGAAGGACATAGGAGGACCTTGGAGCCATGTGCTGGATTTGCTTTCAGTTTTGCCTTTTAGTAGTTACAAGTCCCTTGACCAGTAGTGGTGGTCTGGGCATTGCTGTTTTGCTGCTGCTGTTGTTTCTTGCCTGTTCCTCCTCGTTACTCTCTGCCAATCACAAATTTCCAGAAGCCTTGCACCACCTCAGTGGTTACTGCAGAATCTGTTGAGAGACAGACTGGAGTACTTCCAGGTAAGATCTCCCTTCTGGGAGCTTCCTGGGCAGTGGCAGCACCTCCCTAACTCAGACAGAGGACCTGTCCGTGGTTGACCTGACCAGGAGCTGAGTAGCAGCTTGGTGGAAGATGCCTTCTCCTGTCAGGTCTCCACATCACAGAGGCTGCAAATAACTGCAACTTGTCCTCTCTGCTCCCTGGTGGTCTTCACTGCTCTGACTCTCACCCCACCCACAGAGTGCATACATTGTGGATGCATGGCTTAATACAGAAAAAAAGAATGTTCCTGTGCTGTGAAGCCTTGCTACCAGTGCTAGATTTCTGAACCAAGCATGCCATGAGGACTGCAGAATGCCTTGGCTAAGCCACCTGCTTGGCATTGCCATCTCATGGCACGGAGAATCACAGAATGGTTTGCATTAGAAGGGACCTCAAAGTCCATCTAGTTCCAACCCCCCTGCCAAGGGCAGGGACGCCTTCCACTTAGACCAGGTTGCTCCAAGCCCCATCCAGCCTGGTGTTAGGGGAGAAA